ACATCGTCAAGCTGTGTGTAGGCTATCCGGAGCTTGTTGATGTCTTTATATATATATCTATATATCTATATATATATATCTATATATCTCTATCTATATATATATCTATCTATCTATATCTATCTATATATATATATTTGGGTGACCTGGTTATTTGTGACTCAATTCTCTTGCATTTAACATTTTGCAGAGAGCCCACACAGAGCTTGACGATGTCTTTGCAACCCTCGCAGGGCTCATGGCACAGCAGACCCATCAGTGCAAGGTCGGCCATTATTTACCTGCACCGCTACGCTTTCAGCTCGGCCCTGAGCGCTCAAATGTGACTAGTTGTCTGTGTCTGCAGAGGTTTTATGAGTCGGGCTGTTGCTCCGAGCCCACTGACACCGAGAGGAGCCATGTGTCCAGGTTCCACTCACGGCCAGCTGTTGGGACGACGGCGCCTGCACCGTCGGCCAGAAAACATGCAACTGTGCCACAATACAAAGTAAGAAGAATCTGCTGCTTATTTTTGTCTTTGAGTCACTTGCAGCTTTCATGTGTCTCTTGATAATTAGGAAGCAGTAAAAAAATCTTAAAAACAAACTCAGAGGAACAGCTCCATGTCAATTCAACGGGTTACTAATGGCCAATGTGTTAGCAAACAGCCCACAGGTGACAGAGTGAATCATTTAGCTTCTGTAATTTCAATATTCACTGACTCTTGAGACTTATTTTGGACTTCCAATTACTGAGAAAGATATCTGGATCGTAAGCTTGCTAAATATTTAATATTCACCACCAGCCACTTGAAAACACTCAGCTTGTGTGCCTCAAATACATTTTCTAGGTCTGTGGTCGCTTTTTGAATTTAAACATACAGAACAGCAAACAAAAAAAGCTTGCAAGTGTTGATTTTCACAAAATGTAAAATAGGACACTGAAAATACCAGTGTTACCAATCAATAATGCATCCAGACATTTATCTTCAACTAAAATGTTCTTGAAACAGTGATTCTGACGACACACTGAAACAGGTTTTGTAATTGTATTTGAGAGAGATATTTTGGTGCTTTTTATATTTTATGGAATCAGGGGAACAAAAAGTAAAGTATTTTTAAAAGTAAAGTGTCTTTCTCTTCAGGGTTGTGTGTCGGCGTCTGGTGAGGATTTCTTCATCGAGGTCTCACCGGGGTCGTACGCCGTCACTGCCAGCGTGCCGGAGTTACAGCAGCAGACTCAGCTGGTCAGCGTCAGAGCTGGAGAGAGCATCAACCTCACCTTTGATCTCTGACCCCTGACCTGACCGGTCACCCTTAACCCTCAATACCAAAACTGACCAAAGCTAATGCTGTTTGTGTGTGTTTATTGCTTTCCTTTTTAGAGTTTATATTTATTTTGCGATCAAAATGTTTTTATTTGCTGCATATTGAGAAGCCACATTTTATTTTACAACATCATGAAGTCTTAACCTGCACTTAAACCGCATCAGTGTGTATAAATAAAGTTGTATTTTTTTATCAAATTCATGTATCTTTAACTTCTAACAATATTTCTACCGTGAGGTTTTATTGGTGCACTGACACATTATGTGTAAACAGTAGCAGCATTGTAGCCAGAGAAAGACCTCAGTCCTGCCGGGACACAGGAACCGGGTTCAAACTGAACCACAGCGGCAGTTTAAACAGCAGTTTCTGAGGGCAAGGTGAGGATGGGATGTGAAGGTGAAGAATGCTCATAAGTGGCTGTATTTCTTAAGGAAACTTAGTAAAACAAAATCCCTGTGCCAAGTTCTTGTTACTTTATACAGAAGAGCAATAGAAAGCATCCTGACTGTTGACATTAAAAACTGGCATTGGATGTGCACGGCTCAGGACTGGAAAGCTGTACAGCGGGTGATTGAAAACCGTCAAGAACATCATCAGTACACATCCATCGCGCATCAGTGATATTGGTGACAAGAGGCGCCTGCAAAGAGCCGTGAATGATATTAAAAGACAAAACCCACCACAGCCTGATAACTCTGCTGCCGTCTGGCAAGAGTTACAGAAGTATCAGCTGCCGAGCAACCAGAGTTCAGAACAGCTTCTTTCCTCCGGCTGTGAGACTCCTTAATCCATCCTCCACCCTCTACATATAACGTGTTTTTGTGTTTTGTTATGGAAAATGGGAGTACACTCTGCATTTCGTTGTACAAAGACAATGAAAATATCCTTGTATGTGACTTTGACCCAGAAAATGCAGATTTAAACCTAATTGCAGAGCAACTTTCACAACCTTGATGACCTTATTTTACTGGCGTGTATTTAGTTGAGTCGTCGTCTGTGTTTCCCACCTGGCTGTCTTGTGTTGTGGCTCCGGCCCAGTTCGTCTCCAGTACCTCCAGGGAGGATGCTGCCGTTTACTCCTCAGCTTCACCGCTCTGCTCTCGTCCTCTGAAAGAGATGAAGAGGAGGAGGATGAGGAGGAGGAAGGCACCTCAGGGTTTGTCAAATATCTATATTATATTGGCTATACATCATCCCATAACTGAATAGGATACATTAAAATAGTAATAATAAATAACAGTGACTCCTCTGTTTACATGACTTGCAATATTCTAGCCTAAAGCCTGTGATTTGGTTCAGGTTTAGGCCTCAAAATGTGACTATATGATAAAATTGGATGGACACAAATAAATACAGATAAACAGAAAGTCTTAAATAAATATTAGGATCTATAAAGCTAAAACAGAATAGTAGTTAAAATATATAAATATATGATAAGTAATCGTATTTAGTGTCTGTATTAATGTGGAAACATAATATAAACAGAATATAGTTTATAAGGTTATAAAATATAATACCATAAAACAGTATCCTTTAATATAGTATGGGATATAAGTTGAAGTGTAGTAATATAGTATAACATAATATATATAGTAGGCCCATAGTACTTTATAATAGGCCTGTCATAAGAGGCTCACCCCGTTTGGACGTCCGAGCTTCTTCAGTCCATCCAGAGGCAGCAGATGGAGGACCTTATGGAGGACCTGGATGCCTGTATCAGCTTCCTCTGCTGCCTCAGAGCCGCAGCGTCCAGGACCCCCGAGTCCACAAGGTTCTCAGTCCGCATCCCGGTGAGCATGACATCGGTATCAGAGTCGACCCGAGGCGGTGTGTGTTTGTGTGAGTGTGAGAGCTTTATCTGTAGCCTTCACCAGTGTATGTTTATGATGAGGAATCCCCGGTGATGAGTAATAAAGACACCCCCCACCATGACCAGTGCAGGTAGTCAAGTCAGACCGGAAACAAGTAGTACGACATCTGGTCTGAACGTTCAAAGTAAAACTCGATTAAAAAAACGTGGCAAATTTAAATTATCTGACATTTTGATGTGCGATACAGAGCTAAATCTGAACGTCCCTGTTTCAATAACAATATAGCCTGTGCGGACATTTTCTGCAAACTGATACTTTGTCTTTCTGTCAAATTAAGCCTTTAACAGAATAAGCAAAAACGTTAAATGAGGTGATTTTATCACACAAAAGACATAAAGCTTATTTTAATTCTAAATAATTGACACAATAGTTCCTCTGGTCATAGGTCTATTTATTGCCAGACTAACTAAATTATAGCCCCCCCAAAACAACAGATAATGTTTGTTAAAGGAAATTACAAGTTCAGGTGAAGTTTATTCACAGTATATTTTCATATAAATGCATTTCAAAGTGCTTTATGGAAACACAAAAGGTAAATATAAAAGAGCCAAAGTACTAAAACTAGTAGAGAGATAACAATATAAACACTAACACAATAACTATTAAGATGCAAATAGATTACATTATGAGAATCTTGGACCAAAAAAACATATTAACATAATCAAGTATAAACGGTTACATTGAAATGCATGAATACTGACTGCAGTGTTTTTAGATGGAAGACCACCATAACTTGTTTGTGGGACTATATAATTAAAGCTGTAGCCGTTTAATGCAAATAATTATTGACTTTTACTTTGATGTTATTTTCCGGTTTGTTTGTGTCTCTCGTGGCAGCTTCAACACGGAACAAATACGTGACTTTATTGAATCGTGACTCCGTTAGAAATAAAATGATGTTGTGAATAAAATAAACATCATTTTCAACACAAATTTTTTTGTTAAAACGTTTTTTTATTGAAACTTGTATTGTCATTTCCCTTTTTATAACTATACAAAAATAAAACCCAATATAGGACAAGAAATATAATAAAAAGTCGACATGTGTGCACGTTGCTCCACCTAATCAAAATGAGCAGAGTCTAAATTGTTGTTTGTTTTTAGATCCATAACTACAACTATAAAATTGCTTGTATTAGTATTAATATCCCTGAGGTATAATAATACTTCATATTCCTGTATTATTACACACCTGTACACACTTAGATGTAAAGTCGCTGCGCTGGCTTTCAGTCAGTTAATTACTTCTAGGATAACTAATAATAACTAACAGTCTTGTATTGGTCTAAATGTATTCAAGGACGTAGGTAATATTGGGTTAATTTGTTAATAGAGCACTGTAGGCTACCAAAGACTAAGATCAATCAGTGGTGAAATATAGCTATAGGTACATTTATTCATATACCCTCCTCAAGCACTAAATGGAGTACTTGTACTTGAGTATTCCCATTTTCTGCTACTTTATACTTCTTCTCCACTACATTTTGTAGACAAATATTAGACAGACACAAAATATTGATAAACTACTATGTTTTATTGGTTCAGCTACCTTTATACCTCTATAAAGATATACAAATGTCAGGTGTCAGCTGTACGTTTCATCCATCTGAGCCTCGCTTCTTCACTCCATTGCCCACATTCCCCCGTGTTTTTTTACCCACACGACCTTGTTTTCAACATGGATGCCGAAAAACCTCCCCACGCATCGCTGTTTATATTGCAGAAGAACCCATCAAACCACCTCCTGCGGCACACCGTGGCTTGCAATCCACAGTCTCGGTTGAATGTCGTCTTGAATTGAAGCTTAAATATTTATTTTATAACGACGACGCTGCGCATTTTCTGGTGAAAACAGCCCGAGACAATACGAAAACCGACGCGGAATGGCGTCTGCAAGGGGCCCGGGAAGCTGAATAACCTCAACGCAGCCTCGCTTAGACGAATCAGAGCGGGAGCTGTGATCTCTTCGACCAATCAGCGGGTCTGAATTGCGGGTAGGCGGGCGCAGTCGCGCTGAGGATTCTGCCGCAATACATGTTCCCGGCGTGTGGAGCGTTTCCTGCACTGGTGCATGGTGGTCGAACAGGAGGAATTGTTGGAAATTTTTCGGAGGTTAGTATATAAATTGGTTTTTACCCAGTATGCATTATTCCCACAGCCATCTCAGAGAGAGAGAGGGAGTGACGGGCTGCGACCGGGATTCAAAAGAAGGACGAGAAATGGCGTTTTCACGTGAAATACAAAATGACATCCAGCGAGTCAAAATGCTTAAGTTATCATTAATTAGCTCTTGTTTCCTAGTTATAGTAGCTCGTCTGGGAGCTGCATGGAGACAGCTAGCTAGCACCTCCAGTTGTCACAGAGTCAGCCAAGACGACACACGTTAACTCCTTATTACTCTATTCTCATTAACGTGATTGTCCGCAACAATAAAGCTAGTTAAAGCCGCTAAAATAAGTCGTGACAGCACCAATTCGGTTAGCGTAGTTAGCAATGCTGTTAGCATGGTGGCTAACCACCCTACTCCTCCGTTACATGACGTTACGTCTCGGCTGTGCATTCAAACATGCTATCAGTCAAGTGTGCTAACCGAGCAGCCTTTAACAGCCGCTCCACTATACTTAATATGTAATGTTTTATTACAGAGTGACACGTGTGGCAAAGTCATAGTTGTGCTAACATCGTAGCTAGCTACCCCCCAAAATGCTATATTCAAAATATCAAGCGCCAAAAAACAGCTGAGAGGAAATAAGAGCCCACTTAGGTGGTGGTCACTTATTAGCATAAAAAGTACAATATTTATAGAGCTGTGACTACAACTGTCAAGTTTGCTATATTATTATGTCTTATTGATAATCTCTGAAGTATTATAATGCATCACTGACCTGTACTATACTTGTATACATACCTTTACTTTAATAATGCATATTAATACTTTTACAAGTCCACCCACCATAACACTATAATTATTACTGTTCTATTGCCATTTTTACCATCTACACTTAAAGATACCAAAAGTTGAATGTGTGCTAAATATTTCCAGGGACAATGCACATTGATCAACATCAATGTAGAAGTGTCAGTGATGGTAATGCATTTTTTAAATGTTGTTCCTTAGCCTGATGTTAAAATGGCAATTAAAAGAACAATAAAACACACGACATGTAGACGTAGAACTGGTGAAATCAAAACATGGAGGAATAAAAAGCTCAGTGGACTAAGACAAGTGTCATGTATAGTAGGACATGTACAATGCAGACATTTAATACAAAACAAGGGTAAGCAGACAGGCAGTTAAAACATAACAACATAAAATCACATGACATTACAAAAGAGGAAGGTAAAACATAAAAACAAAACAAGCAAACCAACAAAAGGCTAAGTAAAATGAGAACAGACGGGGAACGCATGTGGTGACGAGGTATGACAGCATGTCTGGTCTGTTTTTTGAACCAATATTAAGGATTATAAGAGTCACTAGTGTATAATGGGATGTTTACAGTTATTTGTTAGAATTTAAGAGAAAATTAGTTTGGGAACATGCACCACAAAACCACAGTTACTGACACGATAAGGGCTTTGTGGTGGGTTATGCTTTATTCCCTGAACTTAAAGGCTCTGATTTCATGTGTCTCTCTGTGTCTGGGCTGATCATCCTGCAGCTGGCCGCCCTTGGGGAGGGTGTATAGTGTTGAAAGGCCGAAACACTCAATGACACAAGGGAACATTACTGATGATGTGTTCTGGGCCCAACTGTCCCAAAATTCTACAACCTAAACCAAGCCAAGATACACCCCACACAAGCTGGAAAACCCCCACTTGTCGATCATCAACCACTCAAAACAAGGTTAATTTCCTGGAAGTGCTCACCACCTTGGCACAAAGGACAGACAAACATCATGTCCTGTGTTTTTTGTTTTTTTGATTCTGACATGTGGACACCAGTATAGGTTTCAAATGTGTCTCTGTGTGTGTCTCCGCTCCAGCAGCTGAAGCATGCTCTTGGCCCAGATAAACCGGGACTCCCAGGGAATGGCAGAGTTTCACGATGCAGATGGGCAGCCGGTCACACTCTGTCTGACGGAGGCTGTGACGGTTGCAGGTGAGCTCAAGACTGGAATACAGCTCGATACGGACAACCGGCCAAAATATTTGTATTTCATATTTTCTTTTATGATAATGCTTTTGCTTTATCGCTGCTGAGTATATTAAACAAAATCCCATGCAATAAATCTAAGTGTCACACTATAAGAAGTACAGATGCATATAATATAAACATTATGCGCATCTACTATAAACAATATGATGCATGACACATAAAGATGTTGCAGTAAATAGTACTCAAATGCGAATATTGCAGACACAGTAGGACAGAGAGAGGTAACTGTGTTTGGTTCATAGAGGAATCACTGTTCATCAGATGTCTTCCTCTAGACTTTACAAGACTTATAACCTGGGAATTAATAGATGGTAATCAGTCATATAGAAATATATTATTTCAACCCAAATTTGGGATGCAAAAAACAACAACTTCACTGTAATCAAGTCAATTTTATGTGCTTTGTTTGCCCACTATGAGATGATCAAGTATGTCAACATGAGCGCGCAGTGTGTATTTTAAAGGATATGAACTCAGGTCCGTGTACAACCATAACATGATGATCTTGCAACTTCCACGATCTTCTCGCTTCAAGTATTGTCATTTTCACGCCATTTTCCCAGATGGCGATCAGATGGAGAGCATGGACACCGTGAGCCTGCAGGCCGTCACTCTCGCAGACGGGTCCACCGCATACATCCAGCACGACTCCAAATCGTCCTTTTCGGATGGACAGTTCATGGACGGCCAGGTGATCCAGCTGGAGGACGGCTCTGCTGCCTACGTTCAGCATGTGTCGATGCCTAAAGGAGGTAGAATACAGATCTAAAAGCAATCGTTCATTTGTATTTTGACTGGATGACTTAACGCCATCTTACTACTGTGTAAATACTGTAGAGGTATCCAGGACATACAGCTAAGCAGAGCTTACTGTTTACTGTTTTAGGAGGGGACACTTTACAGCTTGAAGATGGACAAGCAGTTCAGCTAGAAGATGGAACAACAGCCTACATCCACACACCCAAAGGTAAACAAATAATAATAAAAGTACACCTACGAGCTTAATTGTCTCAGAGGATTTTGAGTTTGTTCCATATCTTTCTCATTTCATTCATTTTATTTAATAACATCTTGATGTAAGGGAAACAACGGTAATAAAAAAACTTGCATTGTTATGCTTTATCAGTCATCTATGATGAAGAGTTGTAATGTTTTGTATTTTTCTCAGTTTAACACAAGACATTACAAACTTACGTCAATAAGAAGAGAAATACAGTAAAAGAAGAATTCCTAGAAGTCCTTTTACAACCTTTAGAGGAGTGTACTAGTAACTTCAGGAGTTGGCTAGTTGGTTGTGTTAATGAACAGCTGACACACTTTACCTTAAATGCAGAGTACAGTGTCATGTGGCTGCATTCAGCTCAGATCTGTTTCTTTGAATGTAGAAATTGGTCTTTGTGGCATTTCTGAGGGACTGGCACCGAAACTCAATGGTAACCCAAACCCAGTGTTTTGAAATATGCTCAAAGAAATGTAACAAATAGACCCAGAAATGTATTTTGTCATAACTCATGTCTTTATAGCTAAGAGATTTAGTCCAAAGAAACAGTAAGTTTGACTACATTCATGTAGGAAACCATCCATCCACGCTGAGCAAACAACCATCTCAGTTTTCACTCTGGACCTGGTCCCAGTTTCTCTCCATGAACATCCGTCTCCTTGTTTCTGTGCAGAAGTATATGACCAGAGCGGCCTGCAGGAGGTGCAGCTGGAGGACGGCAGCACCGCCTACATCCAGCACACGGTGCACATGCCCCAGTCCAACACCATCCTGGCCATCCAGGCCGACGGCACCATCGCAGACCTGCAGGCCGAGGCCACAGCCATCGACCCTGAGACCATCAGCGTGCTGGAACAGTACACCGCCAAGGTAAACATGACAAGGAAACCTATTTTCTTCTCTACGCTGACATTGTTACTCTTTAATTTGATCTTTTGTCTGTTTATTTTAGTCATTGTTTGTGTGTGTATGTTTTGTCCCTTACATTCCCCTTGGTTGTGAATGTTGATAACAGCGTGTACGGTAATAGGAAAGTGTCCCGTCTCCTTTCTGTCAGGTGGAGAATATTGAAAACCCCTTGGGGTCCTTCGGCAGAGTGGAAGTAGACAATGGCGTCCACATGCGGGTATCTTTTCTAGAATCTGTTATTCATTACTTTATTAATCCTTCCTCCAGGTTTAACAGTGGAGTCTAACTCGCGTGTCTTTCAGATTGTGTTACAGGGTCAAGACAACAGGTCAGCGAGGGGCTCAAACGTAGGAGAGAAGTCTTTCCGCTGTGAATACGAGGGCTGTGGAAAGCTCTACACCACTGCCCACCATCTCAAGGTGTGTGTGGGTTTGTTTTTTTGCTGTGTTGCCTACTCAAGTGTGGGCTTGTTTAAAGACAACATTTCCCTTTCAGCATATTCCTGTGATGTTATTAGTTTATGTTTGCAGCCTGACTGCTACACAGTTTTGTTGTGTGTGTCCCCACAGGTACACGAGCGCTCCCACACTGGAGACAAGCCGTACGTCTGTGACTATCCAGGCTGTGGGAAGAAGTTTGCAACAGGTATCTGTGGAGACTTTCTCTCTCTCTGAGCCGTCTCATTTACTTTAAAGACATTTTTCCAGTAATATCCTTATTAGTAACTTCCAATAACAAAAAAGCAGATATGTTTTTGCCCAAAAGAATATCAAAGACACAGAGATTATTGTCCAACATTAAAATGAGGCCTTCCCTTACATGTAAGACAAAATAATAATAGTAATAACACTAAAGTTATAAATGAAGAAAAAAAGTGTTCCTCTGTTTTTCAAAAGGGTTCCCATATTGTTATAATCCATACCTTCACTCTTTGCACATTGTGTCAAACTCAAAGACGTAGTTCACATGTAACAGATCAATTCATTATTCAAATAGTTCGGGCAAATGCAAATGACCACTTACATTTACACCTCGCCACATTCATCAGTCTTCAAGAAGCGTTTACATTTAATAATGTGAGTCATCTGTTCCCGGGGTAGAGTAACGGGCAATTAATTAACTTTCCAAGAGAGTGAAATAACTCTTTTTGTAAGCAGTAAAAGTTTTAAGCCGTTTGCTATATAGTTTTAAAATAATTCACACATTGGAACATGTCCTATTTGTTTTATTTTTTGCCAAATTGCATGATTTAGAGTATAAAGAGATCCAGCCTTCATCAGATCATTTTTGCGGATTACTTTGCAATTCTTTATTGATTGTTGTAATTCTTTCATTGAACACCTTGATGAATGATGAATGTAATTACTGTAGTGACGTCAGCAAACTAACACTTTGAGATCAAAATAAATCTGCACTGAGGTGTATTGATTAACCCAGAAATAACTGTCATATCTGAGTGTTATTGACTCTGAGTTTCTGTTTTTTTTAAGGGTATGGACTGAAGAGTCACTCACGCACACACACGGGGGAGAAGCCATATAGATGTCAAGAACTGAACTGCTGCAAGTCCTTCAAAACATCCGGAGACCTTCAAAAGCACACAAGGACTCATACAGGTACACAACGATACCAAGAACAATATCATTATATAATGATCTGTATGATGGTCTATTACTGGGACCTTATATGATAACTGCTACTGGCCTCAGGGCTGTTGGTTTGATACAGAAGTGAGAATCTATAATTGTGTTATTTCAGAACTACCAGGCCAGAGTCACGCACCTCATGTTAGTAAAACAACACAGATTGGGGTGCAGTGCCTCCGTCCAGAATAGGCTGAACACATTACATGGTTCTGTTATCTGGATGTGTGGAGCTGAATTTCCCCACAAAGTGCTGGAGGACTTTTCAGGCACGGGGTCGTCACAAGGCGCAGGACTCTGGGCTGCTGCTGTTTGTTTTTGAAAAAAAAAAAAACGATTTTTAAAATCTCATTGGGAGAGAGAGACTTATAGATTACCAGCACGTGTGATGTCAAACCATTTGAGTTTCCTCAACAATTTAAAAATCAACACATAGAACTGGTCACAGCATTATTGACAATAGCCCCAAAAATATCAGTGAACCCATACAATGACGTTTGTAAAAGATATGGAGACATAGAACTGGAATAATGAGTAACCCCTTAAACCACTGACATCCCATATCTTGTCTGCAGGGGAGAAGCCTTTCAAATGTCCGGTCGATGGCTGCGGCAGGTCGTTTACCACCTCCAACATCCGCAAAGTTCACATCCGAACACACACCGGGGAGAGGCCGTACTACTGCTCTGAGCCAAGCTGCGGACGGTCATTCGCAAGTGCCACCAACTACAAGAACCATATGAGGATACACACTGGTGAGTCCTCTTTACATCACAGTCTGTGACGTGTAATGAGTCATGAAACCGTGGTTTGGTGTCCTACTCGGGCACAACTGACCCCAAATATTGAGTTAAGCACATTAATACAACTGTGTGAATAGTTTGCAGAAAACAATATGGCTCATACATAAAGATTCCAGCATTATTATGGGTTGTGTTTGCAAGAAACAATTTGTTACAAGTACTTGAGCATTGCAATAAGGATTGAAAATGTCACTTTTTAAAAAAAATATTAAAACCTCCTTTTCTACTTCTCCAGGAGAGAAACCTTATGTCTGCACAGTGCCTGGCTGTGAAAAGCGCTTCACAGAATACTCCAGCCTTTACAAACACCATGTGGTTCATACACCCTGCAAACCTTACAACTGCAACCACTGTGGGAAAACCTACAAGCAGATCTCAACACTGGCCATGCACAAACGCACAGCGCACAACGACACGGAGCCCATCGAGGAGGAGCAGGAGGCCTACTTTGAGCCCCCAACAGGTGGGTGAAAATATAATCACAAAAGGTTATTTTGATGAAGCTCTGTGAGATGTATAAGAATATAGAGCTGCAACGATTAGTCGATGGCCCAAAGAAATACATCGGCAACACTTTTAGTCATCGTTTCAGTCATTTTTTTAAGCAAAAATGCTAAACGGTGTCTGGTGTCAGCTTCCTCAGATAGAGAATTTGATCCTTTTACTTTGTTTTATGTGATAATAAAATTATTATATTTATAGTGACGACTGTTGGTCGAATATAATAAGCCATCTGAATACATGGCCTTTAACTGTGGGAAATGAGAACAAGCATTTTTAAACTGATTTATCAAAATCAAAACAAGCAGGTTAATACAAAGTGAAAATTATTGTCAATAACTGTTGAATTAAATGTAATTGTTAGCAGAAAATGAACAACTAGCTAAGAACAACCTTGGACTTCAAAGAATGATCGAATAGTTCACTGTGAATATTGAATAGTATTTGTTTGAAATGTACATGTCTAATACCTACAGGGAATGTCTGTGATATCAACAAATGGGATACCACAAAGAAATAGTATGATATAAGTGTAGAGAACGTGAGGAGATACAAAATGTCCCACCAAAGACGATTATAACACGAGACCATATTAAGCAGAAATAAATATAAAAGAAAAAAATATATGAAACACAATACAAAAAAGAAATACACACAGAAAGAAAACAAAGTATGAATTTAATTACTCAGCAACATGGCATAACTGTCTCAAATAGTGACAAACAAATAAAATCTTTTAATCTCAAATTCAGACGCCATTGATGACCCCAACGTCAGCTACACGACGGCGGTGGTCGAGGCAGACGACTCCGGCTCAGAGCAGCTTCCTGTGGAGGGATCGGACATGATTTGTCAGCAGCACGTTGCATTGGTAACGCAGGAGGACGGGACGCAACAGCAGGTAATGGGAACGCAGTGACATCACATCACACAATGACATCACAAACGAAAAGAGAAATCACAGTTCGAGGGCTTCAAATGGGGGAAAAGGCATCTGTTATATAAGTGTTTGTAATTCAGTTCTTAATTACTATTCTACATCTGCAAGATTTCCAGAGCTACTACTCTGTTTAAGTTAAAGGTATAACATGTAACATTTCCAAATTAAATTGTCTTAAAATAGCTTGACCTGTGTTTAATAATTTGTTGAGTTGTGTACTTGCATTATCCTACATTAATAAGTATTACATTATTAAGGGTTTCCAACAATGTTCAAACCTATAGAAAATTGCATTTTTAATTCAAGGTGCATTTGGTCGCATGACCGAAGTAATAACGATACGAATAAACTTTATTTATATCACAGTTTTCCTAACAAAGTGATTTACAAGGTAAAAAAACAACATACAATAAGATCATCAAACACAGGAAATTGAAAATTGACTTTAAAAGTAGAGAATATAAAATGACCAGTGAGCCCCTCGAGCTGTTTAACCATCATATCCGTGTGTGTGTGTGTGTGTGTGTGTGTGTGTGTGTGTGTGTGTGTGTG